AATGTTTAATACAAGTAGATTAATGCACGAGGGATAAAAAAATGAATGACAAACTCAAACACGCTTAATATTAAGCTCAACCATATTACACTAATGCATGTTGTCTACAGTGAAATTAAATTTTAAGAGACGAGTAAAATGTTTCACTGCATGTCGCAGCCAATTGAGGGTTAGTCAGAATGAGAAAGATGAATGCAATGTCAAGACCGAAATTTAATTTTTTCCTTCTGTTGGCACTGGAAAGCAAGGTCTCATAATATCAAATATTTGTCAATTTTGACTTTTGCATGAATCAGAAAACGGAACAGGAATAAGTGAAGAATGAAAATCATCCATTCTTATCAACTAACGAGATCAATACTCAAATATACATTTATCGACAATTGACTTGTGGGAAGAAAAGCTCAAGTTATGCCAAGTACTTAGTTACTGGTTATAGATCAGTGTGATGGTTGAGTGGGTCCACTTGATCCATTTTATTGCTCATCTATTTCTTTACAGTCTACACAAGTGCGTGCTCAAACCATCTTTTGTTCGATCGGATGCTATGCTGGACAATTTCATATTCCTCCCGAGTTCTTTGTTAGAACTGGAATATTGAACTCTGATTTTGACATTTACTGTTACTTTCATTTCGCCATTCTAATATTTGCATAATAATTTAGACTCTCACTCTGTGTACGTTGAACAAATACTACATTTCCATCTCAATCAGTCTAATTGAATACGGAGTGAAATTTGATACCAATGCTTTTATTGTATTTTACATACATATGTGATACTGAATTAAATTGGTTTATAACTTGGCATACACAGGATGGCTGGTCAATGTCAAATAAACAATTCAGACCTGATTGTCGATATGAAACAGAAAACTCTAAAACAGTGGCAGCATTAATTTATCCCCAATGTTTTTTCTCGTTAAAGTCTATGCATTAGTGCACGTTTCATGGATGCTGTATGAAAGTGAGTGTGAACTGTGAAGTCTTGTTATTGTTCTTCTTTAAAAGTGCAGTCATACATACTTTAGTGATCAATACAATAACTCAATTGTGGGCGAGGAAAGGGAGCGGAAGTTCTCAACTAAATTATGTCAGAAGGAACCAAAAGTGATGCATGAATGCATTGAATGAGTTGCGATGATCCCACAAAACTAAATAAACTGAACCTTGTGAGCTGTATGAATGTACATGTACTGCATTCATACAAGAATTCAGCAAACATTTCTCCCCATTGTGCATCCCACTCGAGTTTTGGCTTCATTCTGTAACAAATACTCTAATTAAATGAACCAAAAACTATAGGAGATCTGTTTATTACTGGCTTTTGACGCATCGATACATACGTATACCATGAATCTCCGTTATCCAGCGACATGTACAAATAATTAAAAACTACGAGAAAACCTCATAATTACTACAGCAGGCTTCTGTAATACCATGCAAGACATATATGAGAACCTAAAATACATATACAAACCTATCATGAGAACATAGCTAACTGAATCCCATTTATGGAGTGCACGTAATAAAAGTAATGATACAAACACTACAAACTAATGCAAAGTATCAAATATGCAACATACAAACACACCACGAGAACGATATAGCAAATGAACCGAATCTCATGTATGTACCCTGCCGCCATATTTCATTCATTATGATGTGCAGACATTTGATAACAAATTCAGAGATTCATTAGATTTTAATATGCAGGGAAACAAACTGGTTCGTTGTGCCTGCTCTTAACAAAAATGATGTTCACGGATATCAGCAATGCTAATTTTAGAAACGTTAAGTTGCACGCATACGCACATACACACTGCGCTACACGAGACCTTTTAGCACGTCACAATTGAAAAAAAATATTTTGTCACTGTCACACTCCACTTAAAATATTTATAAGCGCAGGGTCGTGTCCTGCCTGAGTGAGTGAAAGTGACAATGCCACCAATGAGGCAACCAGGCGACAAGGTGTGAAAAATGCATCACGACATCGTCACAAAACATGCTAAACCATTATTTTTAAGACTGACACACGGTCTTTCATTACAGATGACACTGCATAGTACTTTTTTGTGGTATACTGCATTCAAGTCATTAACTATCACCGTTTTACGCTCTTGCTACATCACAAAATCTCACGTCCTTAAGACCACATGAGCATGTATGTCACTTTGGCTTTGCACTTGTTAAAACATTTAGAAGAACTAAATTAACCAAAAATAAGCAACTGTATAGATTTCAAAGTATGTTGTAATAAAACATTGGCTGATGTATGTATGCAGCTCTCATTTAACTCTTATTATCGTCAAAATGGACTAATCCTCAATTTGAATAATCCGAAAATCCACAACCACACACGGCTCATGAATATTTCCAGGCTCGATTTAATTAATTTCAATTTACACTCGAAATAACTTAAAGTTCTAAAACCCGTAGCACAGTAAGAGTCAAAACCAAAGCAGAATACACAATTTCATTTCGCACAACTTTATTTTCCACGAGCTCGGAGTTGGATTATCCTCACAATGGAGGGAGCTCAACAAAAGGAGATGATACCACTTTTTTTTATTTCACCGGATTTATTGTTGGGGATTGAAACATGGTTTCCTTTTCACTCGCTGGATTCCACGGCTGAAAGGAAATTTCCCCAAGAAGAAGGAAACGATTACAGATGCATGCACAATCACCAACAGCGATCATCTTCAATTTTCATCATTGTGCACAGCAATGGATAAAACAGTCAAGAATCAGGAAAAAATCCATCAGAGATAGCGAAGAGCCACATCCCTACCACTGAGTTCACAAAAGCCAATTCCAATAGCAATACTGTGACAATTCGCAGACAGACTGGCTGACTGAGGAGTTGTCATGAATAATAAGAAATGATGTCTTAAATTCGACTAGAAAGCCGAGTCACACTTGACTTCGTGGTGGAAAGCGAGCACAATGGAGAAAGGAATGTTGCCCGATTTTTGAGACTCCTCGACTCATTCTGTGTCCCATGTGAAATGTGTGGTTGTTCAAGTATGTCTCTAACCGGGTCGGAGCTTGGAGCTGAACTGGGCTAAAACTGCGAATCGCGAAGGAAGATAGCTGAAAACGGTAAGCGAAGACCTAGAAACCCACACTGGAACAGAACGACGAGGACCACGACGACGACGCTGCGTTGCTCACAACTCTAAAAACATATTGCTTGCTCACTTTTCCACGATGGACCAAAGAACAGGATTTTGTTATTATTATCAAACTTCTCCCCTATGCTCATGTTAAATATATGGGCTGCACAGTCAACATGCTCGAAACTCGAACACCAGCAACTGTGCATATGTACACAGTACATATCTGTAGCAGAACACTGTTTTGCATCCACTTGGAATGGTTCAATATTTGATGGAAACCCCAATAGACCAACAAAGTGATGCTAAGTAGAAACATGAGATTTTCACCCCTATTTTAAACTCAAATTTGGCTGTAATACGTATTGTAAAACAGTGAAGGACCATTATGGAGAGTAACCAGTGCTCTTCATTCTCGTCGTCGTAGGCAGTTATTACGTAACCATTATGCTCAATGGGCCAGACAAGTGCAGTGACAACCATTAAATACTCGGTGCACCCAAAAGGGTTGTCTGTTTCATATCATCGTCGCTTCATCACAAGTGATCAGAATTCACTTAACATGAAATCAATCCGAATGCTCCTGTACTTTTTATTAAAGTCCTAAATAATGAAAGAAGTAAACTGAAACTACATCTCAAGAGAATTGTCACCATTGTAAATATGTAATTTTACGTTCGTACCAATACATATTTACATATAGTAATATGGAAATATGGAATGCTATTCGCTTCATACTAATTTTGTATTGAACATTTTTTGACTGACTGAACCAGGTTGTATAATTTCTCAACATGTGGTAAAATTTTGAGATCGATTCCAATGTAAACAGTCTAAATTCTAATGCAACAAGCATTTCAAGTTGTGTTCTATTTAACCCTTTAGAGACAAGAAATGAGCTAAATGACATGACACAACGCATATTTTTCTCCCGATACTAGGCCACATACTCGTCCATTCTATTTAACTCGACTTACGATCAGACGTTACAATTTCAATTAAAGACAACAGTCTGGGAAATGGAGCAATACAATATAAAAACGAGCCACTTAATACTGATTTTCCCATGCTCTACCACAATATTGTCAATGCGTAGTGGTTTGTATGTGTAGCTATTATTATGTACTAAAATCTTATAGTGAAATCCTCACAAAATTTTTTTTCACCAACGTGCACGCTTCTTGCTGTTGTTCACTGCTCGAAGGTAAAACAAAAAAAAAGTAATCAATTTCGAGGAAAGGGTGTGAGTTTGTTTAGAATGAGAAAATATATTATAGGGCCAGTCCCAGCACAATCAAGAATTGCGAAACAAAAAGGCAATTGAGATGTAATTTATGCTCCATTAAAATTAATTAAGTTTGATTAGAAATATTACTTTGCTTGGGAATAGCAAATACATTTCACAGCCAAAGTAAATTAAATTATAGTTCATCTTCTCCTGTACTTTATATAATTATCGAATTTGCAGTATGTATATAGAACATGTTCAAGGTAGCTTTGCAATTGGGAGGACTGTTGATTTAATTCAAGGAAAAATATCAAATTGAATTCCCAAATGTATGCTCCAATAGTAGCGCATAAATAATGTTGTGAATATTACTCTTTAGAGTAGCAATAATGGGGCATGTATGTATGGTGTGTGAGTGAGAGGGTAATCTACTTCGAATGACAAAACTAGATTGCAATCCAATAATTCCTACTTTTCCCATTTTCAAAGTTTTGCTGACTCGATTTTATAAATGGAAGACTTATCATGAAATCGATTGGAAGAGTGAGTGGCAAGCAGTGGTGGTGCGTCTCGATTAAACAGAAATATACGCCGGCCGCTCTCAAATTTCTCATCATAAAATGTGCTGAGCTGGATATTAAATCTTCTTACCCATTTTGACTGTAGGCCTTGGGAGGGCAAAATTGTGCCCAAGTTTCGCCTTTCGATAAAGTGTCGAGTGTCGCCTATGGACAGGAGCAACAGACGGCTTTACTGCAATAACTTTGACTATTCGCTTGCGTTTCGAAGATGCCCTTCGTCTCATGGGTCCAAAATTTTCTTTCTCATTCGATGCGAGTGACGACGACGAGTTTGGAGATGTAACAACGCTTCTGGTTGCTTCCGATTCAAGGGGTTCGTGTTCCGTTTGACTATGGAATGAATTCTTGGACAACCTGTCGCAAACTTCATCAATGTCTGCCACCACGTCGCCTAACTTTGCGTTATTTTCACTTTTTCCATCCCCTTCAACAAGTTGAGTTTTATCCGGGTCGCATAAATTGTTTGAACTCCTACCCAAACTCCACTTCAATTTACACTCATTTAAACTGACATTCTCTAATTCCGTGACTTTGGTAATGACAATGTTTTCCTGTCGACTTTCACATCTCAAGCGAGGCAATTTAATTTCCTCAAAGCATGCAAAACTTGGATCATTAAGAGAATTGTTCTGTCCTTGTTCATCTTCAAAGGGAAACGGAAATCGGATCTCTGAGCAGCCTTTGAACTGAGCACTGATATCGGGATGTTTACTTTTCCTCCGCTCCGGAGCGACAAAAACAAATGGATCGCAAGAATACGAGGGCAAAATGCGGTTAGTATTAAGAGAGTACGGATCTTCCATCTGGTGAACATCAATTGCACATTGTCTCGCCAACATAATGTCATGTTCGTGGAATATCAGACTAGTCATTGAGGCTGCTGGAATGAGTTGACCAACTCCAACAAGATGACCAGAAGGGTTATTATTTAGCAATCGTCTCTTCTTTCCGCTTTTCCGTAGCCTCGCACTAGACCGCCTTGCTCCAGAGGATCGGATCGGATAAGTGGGCTTTCGAATGCTGTTTCTCTTCAAATTGAAATTGCTTCTTTGAAAGTAACCTTCCTTGCTAACGCTGAGGACAGGACCTTTGACACCTCTGGTTTTTTTACCAAACATTCGTGACGCAATTCCCCATGCCCATGAGCGACCCAGAGAGAAGCCTGAATCCTTTGAGGCTCCGGAAGAAGTGGTCATGGTGGATCCAGGTTTCTGTGTCCACCAGAAACTTTTGGGTGTTGTGTTATCCTGATTGATGACCAAGGCTGAGGGGGAGGAGGAGGAGGAGGAAGAAGATATCATCATGGCTCTTTCAAGAGAAGACTGAGGTGGTGGTGGAGGAGGATGAAGCTGTTCCTTTTCCCCTTCTGACGAATGTTTATTGCACATTTCATTAGGATTATACAACAGAGATTCGCATGGAGTAGGAGCATTTATACTCAATTTAGCACTGTTATAGTTGTAGCAGCCACTGTCTAATAAAGACAAGTTTTTATCGAGAGTTGCATCGTCGTTGTATTTATCACTGTCATTGTTTAGGTTACCTCCATCGGATTTGTTTTCTATATCACCCAAGGAATTTTCGGCTTCTTCCACCAAATCCAAGGCAGAGGCACTTAACCTACTCCGACTGCCACATTTACCACCGCTGTAATCGCTTCCAATACGACTTCTTCTACTGTGACTAGTGTTGCTTGACTCTGACGAGGTCAAACGAGATAAGGCCGAATCCTTGCTTCGTCTTAATGGTTTTGGGGATCCTGCTAACATGGAGAGGTAAAATTCGTCTTCGCAAATCTCACTGTCATCCTCCTCTCCTCTCCCAACACGTCCAGGAGGTAAATCATTCATGCGTAATTTATTTCTAGCAGCTCTGACTCTTCTGCTTTCTTCTCCGTCTTCATTGTTGTAAATTTTATCATCCTCATCATCATTTCCATCATCATTAGTGCAATTCTCGCAGTCAATCCACTCCGAGTCGTCCTCACACTCGGCAGCGCTCATTAGACGCTTTATATTCTCTGTCCGTTGCTTACGGCCCATTGGGCTTATCATTGGAGTCCATCTACTCAATCCCGAATCAGACGGATGATCTCCTTTGTTGTTGCTCCCATTATTATTACTGCTGTGGTTTAAGACAAATGTTGTGCCCATCATGTTGTTGCCATTAGAATAATCGTTACTTGGTGGGAGAGACTGATCTAAAGGTGATAATAATCCTAGTGGCGATGGAGGTGGTGGTTTTTGCGGGGTGGTTGAGAATGTTTTTACAACTTGCAAATTGTTTTCACGATCGTACTCGACCTCGTACTTGCCCTTCAAACAACTTGGATCCAATAAAGCACTGTTTGCACCGTTTCCAACCACATTCGCATCCACTTCCGCGTCATAATAACCTCCGTGGCGTTTAGTTGGTTGTGGGGACGACTCTTCTGAAAATTCTTTCAAAGAGACCCCTTGGACTTTGCTCGTGTTGGAAGAAGGCCCGGCGACTACTCCTCGGCGAACACTTTTCCGGACGGAGCCACGCTTAAAGGAATAGCTTTTCTGAAATTTCGCCGAGTCAATCTCGTGTTCATGCTTTTTACGACCGCCCATTAGCCGACGAAATTTATCCCATGAAATCCCCATCTTGACTTTACGGTATTTTTATGCAGGTAAAAGGATCTCCTCTAATTTAAGATTTTTCTAAACTTGCGATGAAAAATTGGTCAAGTCTCACAATTTGTATTATTATTCTAAGGTACAAGAATGCAACTATGCTCAAATCTAATGTATGTATGTATTATATCACTTGCTATTCTTGAGCCCAGCACAATTTGAACTGAACTATTTGTCCTTGTTTTCATGTACCAATTCATTATTACAACTGAAACCCACAGGATTGTTCCATGCATAACAGTACTGTGCACAATCTAGTGAAAAATTAATTACATTGCAGTCATTAAATCTCAAATATGTCACTCTCTATGAGACGCCGCATACAGAAGCTACTTCAGCCAGTCAGTTCCGCAGCAATCCTCCTCCCATGGAGTTTGCACATATATTGGAACTGCGGGGTTGTAATAATCCAATCCTCATTATCACCAAAATTTATTTCTTATGATCCACATGGGGTAGCTTGAAAATCTGAGGCTGCTGGCTGGGAGACATAGCAGCAGTCAGCATCGTCCTGCAATAGCTTCCTGGTCGTCATATTGAGATTTATTGCGCTAAGCCAAACCACTTCACAGTTAAAACTATGTAAGGCCTGTCTAGTAGTACTGACTGTTGCTCTTAGGAATAAAAGAGTTGAGGAACAGGTATTCTCCAAGAAGAAGAATTTTGCTTTTTCTATTGTTGATTGTTTGTCGGTTAACCTGTTACTCGCTTTTCAGAACACAACATCAAGCACGGCAAATTCACACAGCATATACGATTTTTTTCGCTATTTCCTCTAACCACATCTAAATGTCTCATTTAAACTCAACGAGGATAACGAACCATGCAATGCACAGAACGGACGACTGTCAAATACTTTTTATACTTTGTGATATGATAGCACCGAGGAGCAAGAAAAGTACAATTATCAGCAATTCTTGTACACGGATCAAGAAACACTTGCTGCAAAACTCTAAACTCTGACTCTTGAGATAGTCTCAATTAGTTTTGGCATAAATGCTTCGACCTGCAAATCTTGTTTCATAGCACTGAAGACTGATTGGCACTCCCCCACCCAACTGGCAAATTACACAGCTCAATTATAGTCAAAACACAATTGACAATGCAGCAACAACAATACAATTCAAAATGCCGAATCAAAGTGTACAACCGATGATTTCACTTCACTGACTGCTGCCTCATTAACTTATTTCGCTGATGAGAGCAATCTTCTTCTTCTTCCACTTAACTGAAGATAGTGCAGCCAATCTCTTGGTCTTGTCGTTGTCTGTGTCGCAGTGAGGAGTGAGTCGAACAAACCCAATAAAGAAATAGGTAACAAATGCAACTCTAGTTAGTTAACTTAACAGAGAAATTACTAGGAGCGCACTATGTATTAAAGAATGAGAACAACGTATACACACACACTGGTGCGTTCGTGCGATGAAGAATCAGATTGTCTCGTAGTTTATGCCTTCGCAATTTGATGAGAATGAGTCCCATCTTCTGTTCTTATCAGAAAGGGTTGTGTGCGCCTATTATACATACGTACACGACATCCATCCAGTTATTGGTATTATTATTATTGCCACAACATCAGTTGAATTGGATTTGTCGTCTCGTCCTCTTGACTAAATTTCGCACGATTTCCACACGCTGCATTGTTTTCTACTTGTAGTTCACATAATGTGTCATTGTTCTAAATGCGTTTTTGCATCAGTCATCCTAATGTGTGACGACATGTTGCAAAACTAAAAATCGTCCAACAAGATTCCAGATTTACAACCAACCAGCGAAGAACTTCACTTGCGACAATTAGCACTTTCAATTAAATATTTTATGCTATTCAACTGGCACGAAAGAGCAACAAAGCTGGTCCCTGGCATTCTTTGCACTCTTGATCCTCCCTTAATAATTATTGAACGTTGTTTTGAATGAGATTGATGGCATTAGAAATTACCTCACCGAAGGTCAAATACTAATATTTCTACATGCACCTTTGTCTCAATTCATTCTTTAATCAAACTAAACCCTGAGACCCAATGCACAGCAGATCAAACCATAGATGAGTTTGATGCTCATAACAGACAACAAAACTTGGTCCTCCAATCACTTTTTTTGCAATTATAACTTTGTTCATTGCTTAGTCACTCTATCGCACGACTCGAGAATCTGCAACGCTTGACACTTTTGTTGCGGTGGTCCGTCCAACATGAACCCTATGATAATGACTGTCATTCTACCTGCTAACTCACTAATAATAATAATAATAATAATAATAGAATGATACTGCCACTCATGTGAAGCACTTATCCATTTCATAAGACCAACAACAATTCTTATCGTATACGCAAAAGATAAACCAAATAGTAAATGTTTACACGCCAAAGCAGAGTCAACTGTACTCTAGTGTACTTTATTATTCGCCTTTGGCTAAGACAGATAACTGCAAAATTAGCCGGCCCCAGTTTTTACATGGGAAAATCTCCCACCACATTCACTTGTACATTGCCAGCAACACCGCACACTTAAAGTGTCTTGAATAAAAGCTCCGTCACATCAGCCAAATATCAAATATAATTATTTCTTCTGTGTGCAAGGGGGTGATGGCTGGGATTGAAGTGCAAAGCTCACGAGATGATACAGTTTAAAACTTTTATGCGATAATTGAGGAATTAAAATGCAGTATATAACTGCAATTTAACTTCCGGTTGCCTGTTGAGTTGTGTGATGTAACCGGAATTATGTTTAACGTTCACAGCACAACATCCGAATTAACTTTATTCTGTAAATATGTACGTACGTGCACACGACAAAACACGGCAAATGGGAATACTTGAATTTAAATTCCTTCAATTTCACAACAAAAAACTTTGAAATTTTCGTGTAGATTGGATCACAATCTTCCCGTTAATGCAATATATGCACTACACTCAGCGGTCTAAATATAAAGGCTTCTTATTCCCAACCAAATATACGAAAGTCAAGATTATTATTAGTGACACGACGTCTCGTTATAAATTCAGTAAAGGATGATCAAATTTCGTTATATATGCAAACGCACGATTAGTTTCCTCTCTTCTTTTCTTCAGTCGAAAATTGTATAAAATTTAGTTCGGTAAAAAATGATCCACTGTAATATGTTGAACAACCATTAGCAATATTGCTAGGCGAGCTACACCTTTACAATTTATTACAATCAGAATGTCAGTCAAATTTGAATTCCTCTGGTAAGCAGTTTGGTTTTGGTACTGAAACTGAATCCACTAATTTAAATAGCTGTTGTCAACCAGCAAACTGAACAGACGCACAAATACTTGTGAAGCAGCGTACCACACCGCGTGAGAGGAGAATTTGCAGGTTTGCGATGAAAAGTCAGTACAAAGACTGGTGCGATATGTGCTTCACCGTCGTTATCCACGGACCGCAGCTTTTCAGCATATGTAAAGCACACACAACAATAAATGCACGATGTGTCAGGAAATAAAATAATCACGCAACAAAAAGACAACGACCGAATCCAATCGTGAAATTCAACAAACTGGGAGCAAATAGCAAAAATTAAATCTGGAGGCATCTGTAGTTACTTTCTACCTCCTCTTCTTCACTCCCTTTAAAAAAATACCTATTACTTTTACGCCAACTTAACTCCGATTCGATTTGATGTTCGGTTGGTCGGAGACTTCTTACGACTGATCAGCATACAGCTGAAAGCACGAGATCGTGAAAGAGAATCGTCACTGCATGGTCATTACATTGTATATACAACATCGCAAGCCACAGGAGATCAAAACTTGTATAAGGAAGGATTGTAAGAAAGAGATGAATCGAATCTTGAATCACACTGCTTTGTGTTGTATTATTATTATGCAAAAGATAAGAGTGGAAGAAGAAGACGAAGACGTTGAATGGAGGATATTATGTTATGACCGTGGTCTAGTCGGTTGGCCAAAAATCTTCACGAACCCAAGCAAGCTCCTAACACCCCCAATGTTGTATCCACTGCAGAAAATTTGTCTATTGATCAAGTTCTTTATCCACTACCACAATGTAAACCTATGGATTTTAACAGGCCGTAGGTAATGATGTAATGATGCAAACCTTAAAACCTTGCTTGTAGCTTACTAACAATGAACGTAAAAATCTCTGAATTGCAATTGCGATCCACAGCAAGCAGCATGTATCTCATCTGGACTAGGATCATCATTTGGATGAGCAAAAACTGTTAAAATATGCATGTTAACAAAGTTTTCCATATTTATCAATTTTTAAGTTTGTCGACTTTTATGCGGGCTGAGCATTTTCCAACCTTTTTCCCAGGACAAGGGATTAAAAGGGTCCTTTTGTTTTTATGCCTCGTTAGAAGGGACACTTCGTTTGAGCATAACTCTGCGTAGTTTGCATGGTCACTTCTGACCACATATTATTACATATGTATGAATGTCTCCTATGTACTGTCAAAACCTTAAAACCAAGTTGTTTAATAAAAATCACCATCAGTCTAAAAATATCTTCCAGCGAGATCATTTTTACTTTCATGGTAGCAAAGCCGTTAGTTTGTATGATTCATATTGTTGGTCTCAACCTGCCTCATTGAGTGTCTCAAAAGTGCCCCAGTCTCAGAGTCTGTTAAAGTCTCACAACGAGAAGAACTGTTTCCTGTTCAACACTTGATAAACTGAAGTAGATCAGTGTTATTATTGTGAAGTGAAAAGGTCAATTCATCAGTTAATAATAGCAGTAAGTCTCCACTGCCCAGTGCCAGTCTGGACGGAGTAAGCCTGTAAAAGTGTGCCGTGAATTGGACCATTGTTTGGACAAGAGACATCAACCCTTTGACTCTACCCGAAGCTGAACCTTCCGCCCGAGGACGAGTTTTATTGAGGACGACCACTCTACCCAAATCCTGAGTTCCCGTCTACCAAATCTCGACCTTTTTCGATTCTACTGCTCTTTATTAGGCAAAGAGAAGGTAACAAGTCTATTTCTGTTTTTCGCTTCTGCTTTCCCTACTCCACAACGACAAGATGACATCAACAATCAAAAGAATAGATGTTACGCACATTGTCAAGCTAGACGACACCAATTACGCGAGGTGGAGACTTCAGATAACTTTACTTCTCAAGTCACATGACCTGTGGGAAGTGGTCAACGGCACTACCCAACGACCTGCAGATGAAGCACAACAGCCAGCATGGGATAAGAAGGATATACAAGCACAATCCATCATTGTCCCCACTCTCAGTGCCACTCAAACAAATCATATTTATGACTGCGCTACATCAAAAGCAATGTTTGACAAGCTGAAAAGCATCAATTCAGATTCAAGCTCGCTTAACAAGCAACATACCATGGCTAGATTCTTCAATTACAAAATTGGCAAGAGTCAGTCATTGATTGAAGCATTTGCAGAGGTGGAAGAGCTGGGCAGAAGACTAAATGAAATGGGAGTCGTCATGCCTGAAGCATCCATTGTCACAAAGATTGTCTCAAGTCTCCCCGACGAGGAGTATAATGCCTTCAAAAAGGCATGGGACAGCGTTCCGGATAAGGACCAGAGCATGATAATGCTACTTGCCCGTCTGAAGAAGGAGGAGTTGGAGAGGAAGGAATCCAAACCAGCAGCAACCAATCAAGATGCAGCAAAGGCATTCTTGACCCATGACCAGAAGAAAGGCAAGAAGAAACAGAGCATTGAAGAGTTGAAAAAGGCAACAACCTGCCATGGGTGTGGGAAAAAGGGCCACTGGAAAAGGGAATGCAGGAGTAATCCACAAAATCAGAGCAATAAACCTTCAGATAATCCCGCACAAGCCAATAGAAGCCCTGGGAAAGCGTTCATGCTAAATGCAATACAAACCCCCATGCAAGCACCCGTGACTGAACAAGTGTGGCTAAGCGATTCTGGAGCTAACCAGCATGTCTGTGGAGATAAGGCATGGTTTACAAGATATGAAGAGTTTGACACTCCCAAGTCAGTCTTCCTAACGGACAAAAGGGCTACACAAGCACTAGGAAAAGGGACAGTGACACTTGACGCTTACATCAACGGCATATGGGAGGAATGTACCATAGATAACGTGTTGTACATACAAGGGGCTGTCAACCTTTTTTCTGAGGGATCAATGGCTAAGAAAGGGTACTCCATCGTCCGTGACAAGAATGGAGCAACATTTTATCAGGATGGACGGTTTAAGGGGCCAATTGCCGAGTTCAAGAATGATATGTATGTCATGAAGTTTCGTTCCACTTCACAAATTATTGCTGCATACATGCATCCCGTGACTAATGCTAAACTATGGCATCAACGCTTGACACACATTAATATGAACTATGTGGTCAGGAACCACTCGCAATTTAAGAGACAGAGCTAAAATTAAGAAACCAGATAGATATCAAGCTCATGCCATTTATGCAGACAAAGAACCTTCAACTTATAAAGAAGCCGTTGAGTCTAAAGAGAAGGAAGAATGGATAAAGGCAATGCAAGATGAGATTGAAAGTCATAAGAAAAATGGGACTTGGAAATACGTGAAGAGGCCAGCCAATGCAAGATTGCTTGACAGTAAATGGGTATACAAGCTTAAACGTAAAATGGATGGAACAATTGATCGATTTAAAGCCCGGCTTGTCATACGAGGGCATAGACAGAAAGAAGGCGTCGACTATTTTGAGACATTCTCCGCCGTATCTCGGTACGAGTCCATAAGACTTCTACTAAGTATAGCTGCAGCAAAGAAAATGCATATCGCACAGCTGGATGTCCAGACAGCCTATCTCTACGGGATTCTAAAGGAGACCATATACATGTCACAACCTGAGGGTTTCCACAATGGAGATGACTCCATCGTGTGCCTCCTGATCAAGGCTTTATATGGATTGAAACAGGCTGGAAGAACCTGGAATGAAACATTCACCGAATTTCTCGAGAAATTCGACTTGCACCCATGTTACTGCGATCCCTGTATATTTGTTGGAGATGTTGATGCAATAATCACTTATCTCAGCTTATGGGTGGATGATTCACTGGTCATTGGAAAAGATAAAAATGCCGTGCAGAAGATCATCAATGCAATCAAATCCTACTTTGAAATAACGATAATGGAGTCCACAGCCTATGTTGGGATGCAAATAATCAGAGATGGAAATGATGGTTTACTTTTGTCACAACCTTTTTACATCCGTAACCTGCTTGAAAAGTACAATATGCTGGAGTGCAACCCGACGAATGTGCCGATGCAACCTCATGCAGGAGAACTCGTCCCAGCCGCAACAATAAACGAGACCCTTCCGTATCGACAGCTCGTTGGATCATTAATTTACCTAGCCAAGTGCACACGCCCTGACATCTCATATGCAGTGTCCCGCCTGTCTCAGTTTATGCACGCATACGACGAAACTCACTGGAAAGCTGCAAAGCAAGTCCTCCGCTATTTAAAAGGCACCGAGGAACTCGGAATCAAATACAAACCGTGTGAGGATATGATTCTCAGGGGATATACAGATGCAGATTATGCTTCCGACAAGATGGATAGAAAATCTACAACAGGTTTTGTCTTCATGCTAAATGACAGCGTTATTTCATGGTCAAGCCAAAAGCAACCCATTGTCTCAATGTCATCAATGGAAAGTGAATATATATCTCTCGCTTCTGGAGCGCGTGAAGCCGTTTGGTTACGACGATTTCTAGAAGAATTAGGATTCCCACAAGAGTCCCCAACAATAATTCATGTTGACAACCAGAGTGCAATAAAATTGGTCAAAAATCCAGAGATGCACTC